TAAAAAAGAACTACCCGAGGAGGAGTCTAGCAGAGGGCTCAAAGGGACATTCAGATCGCCTCCAAGTATCAGTAACCCTTCCTGGAAAGCGGCTAGGTCAGAGACGATTGAGCGCAGGAAGGAGACCTGTTGAACATTGGGGGCATAGACATTGGCGAATGTGATAGGTCTGTTAGCGAATACTCCCTTTATAAACAGGTATCTACCTTCAGGGTCCACCATGGAATCCGTTATATGAAACTGGAGGTGTCTGGCGAACAGTATCGCAACCCCCTTAGACTTAGCCAGGGGGTTGGTGGCGTGGAGGACTGTGGGGAAGCAGAAATTGTAAAGCTTTGGAATGGAGTCTTGGCGAAAATGTGTTTCTTGTAAAAAGACCACATCCGCTTTCTGTTTGTGTAAGTAAGAGAGGAGCATGGAGCGCTTTTTCGGGTATGTTCAGACCTTTGATATTAAGTGAAAGGAGTTTCAGAGACAATTGTGCCGGTTGTGAGGTGGAAGAAAGCATGACTGCTGGAAGGCGAAGCCTGAGTCCGAAGCTTCGGTATGCCGAGGATTCGGGGGATGGGAAAAGGAAGGGGGGAGGGAAAAAAAAAAAAAAAAAAAAAAAAAAAGGGGGGGAGGTGGAAAAGAAGAAAATAGATAGGATACGGCTTGAGGAACAGACCCGCTGTTCCACGTGAGAGAAAGAGAAACAGGAAAAGGGGAAAAGGACGGGAAAAAGGAAGAGAAACACAAAGATAAAAGAAAAGCTCAAAAAAAAGATAAAGATAGAAGCCGAAAGAAAAGGATCAGTGGAAGCTCGCCGAGCTCACTGTGTGGGGAACGAGGTCGGCGTAAAACCAGGAAGTGCGCATCCGCCGGCCGGTAGCCCCCTATGGGAAATTATAAAAAAAAAAGGCAAGAATAAGGGGGCGGGGTTCGAGAGAGATAAGAGGTGTCAGGAGTCCGCAGGGGTGGAGCACAGGGAAGGTTTGGGTACCGGTCTTCCGTGGGGGATGAAGTGTTATGTAACATGCAGAAGAAGAAGACCTGGGCAGATTTATTAGAAGTATCGCGAGTGAAATATTGCCGAGCGAGGGGTCTAGCTATACGTAGTATTAAAGAAGTGTAAAGGCACATACAGAGTGACCGCATTGGGAAGGACAGCCTAAGCCAAGGTGAGCGTAAGACAGTAAAGGGGCACCTCGCTAAACGGAGAACAGCGAAAGACCCCTGCACATATTACAGGCAAACCGCATCACAAGGCAAAAAACATAACAAGTCAACATTATCAAAACATGAATGAGCATGACAATAACAGATAAAACGGCAATAAGCCCCTGTTCAGCAGTAACCAATGAAGCCCCCTAAGATCAAGGCCCGTCATCAAACCCACAAAAAAAAAAAAAAGTATCAAGGGGACTAAATAAGACACAGGAAACCCCCCTCCCCCTCCCCCCACACACAATTATAGTAGCTGGCGCCCTCAGGGAAGCAAAAGGGGGAGAGCATCACCCCTCCTGGAATGGCGTAGGAGTGGGGAGGAGGAGGCGGAGGGAAGTGAGCATGGGGGTGAGCAAAGGCACACAGGCCCTCAGGTATGCCAATTCGGCCAAGTGAAAGCCGGGCTGGAGAGAATGATATGGTTCCATGTTGAAATGGCTAACCAGTAGCGGGGAGAGATGGCGCTCATCCACCCAACCAAACTCCACTGACTATACGAACAATAACACTCTCCAAAAAAAAAAAAAAAAAAAAAAAAAAAAAAAAAAAGCAGTTACCCGTCCCCGCCTACAATACACACCTCCCCGCAGACCACCCCCCCCGGCGGAATAAGAAAGACACTAACATATGCACACAGAAAATATAAAATATACGTTACAAATGGAGCAGGAATCACTTCCGAAGGAATGGGAAGGCCAGGCGTTCCAATGTCCACGGAGAGGGTGGGGGGGTGAACAAATCATCACAGAACAGAACAGCCCCAAGCGAGCAGCAGGACGTCCGCAAAGACATGAGGGCGAAGTTCAGAGCTTGCCAGGAAGACGAGGCTGGAGGACCTTCATTGCCCAGGATGCATCCAAATGGTAATTGGAGATAGAAGGCTGGGAGACGGCACAAATCGATAGCCAACTGGAGGCGGAGGACTCGCTCTTGGAAGGCAGGAAGGAACTGTGGAGGCCCAAAATTTTTCGTACAGGATAGTGACAGAGTCCCAGGAATCGCAGGCTGTCATCTTGACGAACAAGTAGGAAAGGCAGTAAAGTAGGAGTCCGACGAGCATTGATCATAGAGCGCCAGTGCACAACTGGAACATATGGGGCGAGTGGATGAAAAAAGGTGTGCAGTCGCAGTAGAACGTAAACACTCAGCAGTGTATGCATCGAAGAAGCAGTGTTGAGGGAAGGACAGGGACCATTAGGTTTCGCGTCGTGGCCTCCTGTGCGCTGGAGAGGCCGTCGGGCTAAAGGTAGTCGTGGCGTCCCCTATGAGGGGTCTCGGAGGGGTCGATGGGGCCATCCGCCCTCTACGATAAGACTGGCCGCGCCATTCCATAGCACTATCCTCGGCCACCAAATCCTGGGATAGCGGTAGTCTCATGGAGCTGTACCAATCAGGCAGGTCAATCAGCGGGATGTCTATGGAGGCACAGAAAGAGGGCAGTTCTTCAGGGGTTCGCAGGTTGTGAGAGCGACCACCAACCTGTACAGAGAGACAGAAGGGGAACCTCCATCGGTACGGAATGCTACGCGAACGTAGCGTATCCAGAAGAGGGCGTAAAGCGCGCCGCTGGCGTAGGGTGGTGCTGGATAAGTCCTGAAAAAGTTGTATTTCTGTCCCCTCATATAAAAAGGCGCCCTCTGTCTCTAGCACAGCGGAGGACATCTTCTTTGAGCGGGAAGCTGACTAGGCAGCAAACGATATCCCTGGGTGGGTCTGCGTCTCCCCTCCTGGGGCGGATCGCTCTGTGCACACGTTCGATGTCAATCGGGGTTACTGGCGGGCGACCAAGGAGGTTATTGAATATGGCCATTGCTGCTTTGGGAATATCGGCATGTTCTACTGATTCTGGGAGACCGCGGATTCTGATATTACGCCTGCGGCCACGGTTATCTAAATCCTCAATTATGCCTGTGTAGTTCTCTGATAGTGGAAGCGTGCACCGATGACTGATGTTGTAAATCAATAATGGCGGATCCAGTTTGCCTGGATGCGGATTCCACGTGTTCCAATCGCGAACCCATGGCCCTTAAATCATTATGCAGCTCCCCCAATGCTGCAGTGAGTGTGGCTGTCAGGGTGGCCTTAATGTCAGCTGCCACAGCCTGAAGATCCCTTAGGGACAGAGATTGTGAGGCAGAGGGGACATCATGCTGAGGCACTGTGTCTGGGGCTGCCTGCATATCAGAGCAGGGAGGGTTAATAGTGTCAGCAGCCGTAGAGAGGGGGGGGGGGGGGGGGGGGGGAAGCAGCAGGAGAAGGAGAAGGAGATGGCTGCGGCCCGTCCCTGTGCTGCTGGGAGCGGAAGAGCTCCTGTATGTGCCTCCCCTGCACCCCCTGGCTCCGTGGGGAGCGCGATCGGGCACCGGATGAGGTCCGGTCATGCTTCCCCATATCGTGGCAGCTCTCTCTCACCCCGCTCCGTAGTGCGGCGATTCAGAGGGATCCGGCCGGCGGGAGCTCCCTCACTATGCGGCCATCTTCCAGCCGCGGCAGTGGTCATATCACCAGGTAAAAATAAAGTAAAAAGCCTAAAAGAGAGAATAAATGCAGCCATTATATCTAAGGACTGGTAAGCTGCAATGTATTTTGGGGGGGGGGGGTGTTAATACGGCTTTAAGCTATACACATCTGTCCATGTTCCTGGTTATCTGTCCAGGAAGCCTCATTACAGTATAGTCCACTTTTGAACTCTAGTTTGGATCCGGATGAAGGTGGATTCCTTGACTCCCCCCCCCATATAAATGCAGGGAGATACTTGCCTATTTTCAGCCCCCCCGGTCCGGTAATATGATTTCCTGTGTTAGCCAGTGGCAGCTGCAGGCGAATGGAGAGACTGCCCAATAAAGGCTTGGAAAGCCAGAAGGCATAAAATCACCCATAGACTTCCATGGTGTAGCTGTTGTCAGTGGTTCCTCCTCTCCCCTGCAGCTGCTGCTGTCTTACCCAGGGTAGCCAGATCACAAGGCCAGACCAGGCTATAAATAGGTAAACATTTCTAAATAGGTTAGCTTGTATAGGCGTTAGGAGGGGGAAGGGAGCATTTTTAAAATTAGTCAGATTTTAGCTGGAATTCTATTTTATTGCAGTAAGTAGATATGATGATTTAAAAATAAAGCAAGATATGTACATGACATTACATTGTATATACAGTATACATATACAATGTACTGTATATCATAAGAGGCAAGATCAATGTGCCCATTTTGAGGTTTAAATACTAAATTTGTTGCAGTTCTTCTGTCTTTATTGCCTGTCTTATGTATTCATTATGCAGGTTGTCTGTTTTATTGTCCAATTACATTAATTTAAATGTAAAGTAAGTGTCAGCATTATGTTTGGAAAACAATTCACTAGAACAATTTCCTTGTACTCGATACTCCTGGGATGATTCTATATAGTTTAAAATTGTTTTCAAGTCTCTTTTCGAATTATAATAAACAGTCCAGTCGTTTAATTCAGTCTCCTGTGAATCTTCTCTTAAGCCTGGACCATCTGGTATCATTTGTTTTCACTTGGCATGTGTTTATTTATATCACCACAGAATTATGTCATAATAACAATACACTAACATCAACACTGTATTCATTCTATACAATTTCTGCTAGTTTAATTCCCAGGAACAAAAAGTGAAGGCACTGCACTTTTACAAATTAATTTATATACTGAGAAACTACTTTTAATAATATTTTACATTATTAAGTACTTTACCAGTCTAATCTGAAGTCTGCACGGAGTTTAGCTATTGTCTCTGCAGACAGTTGGCGACTTCTGCGCACTGTGCGCTTCAGCATGCACTGACCCCGCTCTGTCATTTTACATGGCCTACCACTTCGTGGCTGAGCTGCTGTTGTTCCCAGTTGCTTCCACTTTGTTATAATACCACTAACAGCTGACTGTGGAATATTTAGTAGCAAGGAAATCTCATGGATGGGCTTGTTGCACAGGTGGCAACCTATCACGGTAACACGCTTGAATTCACTGAGCTCCTTTGAGCGACCCGTTCTTTCACAAATGTTTGTAGAAGCAGTCTGCATGCCTAGGTGTTTGATTTTATACACCTGTGGCCATGGAGGTGATTGGAACACCTGAATCCAGTGATTTGGAAAGGCGCCCCAATACCTTTGGCAATATAATGTACTAACAATTGGGAAATGGGAGGCCCAGTTCCCAATCACCTGATCACTGTGATAGCCTCCAACTGGTTATCAACGTAATTAGCCACTGTATAGCCCACCCCTGTGTTTTTTCTCCTCTTGAATGGAAAAAAAGTTGCATGTTAGTGTTAACTAAGAAAAAGTGCGTGTAAGAAAAAAAAATACTATTAATAAAAAAATAAATAAAATGGCTAGATCCATGTCTGATCTAGGTCAGTGTCAGGGTCAAGTTAGGGTCAAGGTTAGGGTTGAAGGATATCGTCAGAGTCAAAGGGTCAATGTATTTTAGGTAGGATTAAAAAAAAAATGTAGTATCAGTGTCAGTTAGTGTTATTTTAATTGTTTTTTTTTTTTCAAATAAAAGCCCAATTTGTCCTGAGTAGTTGCGATATGTACAGTTTTACTAACATACAGCAAAGTTGCAAAATATTCAGATGTTAAGATTTGTTTTACTCTCTGTCATGAAGGGGTTAGACTAGATTCACTGAAGCTTCGTTTTCGTGGGCACAGCAGCCCATTCAAAGGCCCCTGCACATTTTCCAAAATCAAGGTTCCCAGCATGGGAAAAAACACTGCGGTTCCCAGTGTGTTACGGTTAATTAAGAATTAATGGCACTCCTGCATGCCTGCTAACAGCAGCACATTTTTGCTGTGTGTGCCAGAAAAAGGGCAAATTATACACATTCCTGAACCCGCAGAAGTGTAAATCTGGCCTTAAACGTACTCTGTAAACAACATCATTTGATCTATTTATTTCTATTATATCTATTCCTGACACAAAATCCACATAACCTTCATCCAGTACTCTTACAGTTTTTCTAAACAAACTGAATTAGAAACGCGTGTGAATCTTAGGTGAAAGACAGAGTTGTGAGAACCTTATATGAAAACTTTTTTTAAAACCTTGATATGTTAATTATTTAAAAAACTGTTCATATTTATTAATTGTAATTATATATGTACACAAGAGGGAGGGGGCAACCATATTTGCTGAAAAGATACAGTATTCAGGGGAATTTGGCTGCAACACCTGATTTTTTTCATCCAGAGAGAACAGGGCAGAACAGGGCAGAATTAAGTGGTAGAAGTAGGAAGCCACAACAGATCTAAAAGCTATAAGATAATTTACTTTAAAGCTACAGCCCTTAAAGAGTAACTCCACTTTTGTTGTGAAAAAGAAAAATAATCGCCCCTGGGTGATCAATGTACATTGCAGGGATTTTAACATACTTGGTTGCAGATTCCTACCTGTTTCTTCTCTGAAGAAAAAGCTGTTTGTTCTTCTGTGCCTTTTGGCCACTGAGTCTGAATGAAAGTGACTTTTTCATTATTGATCAGCTGAAGCACATGCAGTGCTCTAATAAGGAAACTGCAAGCACTGCATCCCTCTAGAAGTGATTAACCCTTTAGGAGCATCTCACCAAAAAGATTTTTTTTGTTTCAAAAGATGCCTAAAATGTGATAGTGCAGACTTCTGTGAAAATCAGTGATCCAATCACACAAACAGGGAGAGACATTTCTGGGGGCAGTTTGTATACCAACTGTATATAGAACATGTCCAGGTTGTTACATTCCATTGAATTTTATGGAAAATTACAGTGCTGTAGATTAAAAGGAAAAGTAATTTTTAAGAACATTAAATTACAATATGGCTTGTGCTGCAATAATACATACTAGTTTTTTTTTAATTTTCTATACTTTTTTTCCCAAGAAAGTGTAGTTACCCTTCAACTTCAAACAAATTAGCCAGTGGCAAAACAGTTTCATAATATAGTTTGTGAGCATCTTTTTTCTTAGTAATACACTGCATTATCTTAATAGTTTATTAAACTGTCAAAAAAAATGAACAAAAACCATTTCAAAACCCCAACCCCACATTACCAAAAACACCCTTTCAGCCATGTATGCCTAGTTATTCCCAGAATTTTCCAAATTTAGACAGGTATGTGTTTTGTTAAAATTGGATAGCATCAGGGCAGTAGATTAGCACTTGGTTAAATGGGGTCAGCAGTGTGGGCCTTTTATTAGTACATCTGCTGCTGACAGCACCATTGTGGTCTACAGCATATTATTTATTACAGTACTTATATAGGCCATCAATTTACACAGCTCTTTACATGTGTATATATATATATATATATATATATATATATATATATATATATAGTACATTCACACCAGTCCCTAAACCTCAAGGAGCATACAATCTAAGGTCCCTAACTTACATTCATACATACACATACTAGGGCCAATTTAAACAGGAACCAATTAACCTACCAGCATGTCTTTGGAGTGTGGGAGGAAACTGGAGTATCCAGAGGAAACCCACGCAAGCACAGAGAGAACATGCAAACTCCAGGCAGGTGATGCTGTGGTTGGGATTTGAATCAACAACCCTAGTACTGTCAGGCAGACATGCTAACCATTTAGCCACTGTGCTGTCCACATATCAGCTGTGATTATAGTACCAGTAATTTAGGTACCACATGCATTAGGAAACACATAATTGAACCACAAAGCTTGATGTGAGCAGCACCTCAATAAGCCCAGTCAGCAGCAAACAGGATTTCCTGATTCCCAATAGCAGTCACTTTAATTCTTCTCCTCTTAAAGGGCAAATAGTAGCAGTTTTTTTTGTCTGATAATGCATCCTTCTCCACTCCTCCTCAAAGGCACATAACAGCCATTTTATTTTGAGAGCGACGTGTACGCCATTTTCCTACTCCTCTTCCTCTTCCTCTTCTAATCCTGACATAGGAGCAGGAAGGGTTGTGGTGCTGGTGGTGCGGAGAAGGAAGGTGGTGGTGGCATTCAGGAGGAGGAGATTAAATCATGTGACCATAAATGGCCCACCCTTATCCAAATCTTTCTATAAAGGCCACAGGATCAGAGGCAATCTGGATCACTTGCTTGGCTGTCATAGACTGTATGTTGTGTCTGAGGTTATTCTATACATTTATTTTACATATCAATTAAAAAAAATTGGGTCGCACACAGGGGCGGACTGACAACTCATGGGGCCCCCGGGCAATAGGGGATCATGGGGCCCCTGTGTCCTTGCCTAAACTCAAAAAAGCCTATGAAAAAGGTACCAGGAGCATCTCATGGGGCCCCCTACTGACCCCGGGCCCTCGGGCAGTGCCCGAGTTTCCAAATGGTCAGTCCGCCCCTGGTCGCACACCAATGATATCCTAATAATCTGAATGGATTTATGGAGCAAGCAGTTAGGATCCAGCACACACTGCAAGCCTTTCACACCTCCTATGCATTTCACTGATAACAGGGTCTAATAATGATTAATTGAGGCTTACAGTGTGTGCTGGAATCTATTTGCTTGCTCAATAAAACCATTGGGATTTTCAAGATGTCATTGTTGCACAGCCCACTTTCTTGAACTGAAGTGCAGTGTGGTGCGAGGATGGGCTCGTCCTTTGTCACCTGGCTGGTCCACTAGATAGAAGATGAACAAGGTAGTGTTGGCAGTGGTGGGACATTCTGTGATTTACTAGCTTAATTTTACATATGTTATGTGCATATTTACCAATTTTTCTATAAAAAAAATTCAATGTTTTTTATTTAAATTATTCTTAAACATAATCTTAATCATACATTGAAAGACTTGTATCCTTAGACCATGATTTACAAAAAGCTACCTCCAGGCTATTGGACAAAAAAACTGCTAGGGTTGTCCCCAGAGCACACCATATAACCCCACCCACTCCATGAGACTCTAGTTTTTTGCTAGTGTCCTCTGGTGATGGTCCTGTTTTCCTCTGAGTTTTTTTTTTGTTTTTAGCATTCATTGTGCAACTGGCCTACAAGAAACTCCAACCACCACTCAGGGTAATAGATGTTCCCTTTTCCAAGAGCAATGTCCTTCTGTGACACCACTCCCATTTTTAATCTGGATCTGTGTCAGCACGCAACATGTGGACTGTTTGACAAAAGCAGATAACTCTATGCTACTATGTTTAAATTCTTTGGAAAATGTTCAGAAATTCTAGAAACTTTAGTTTCTTGAGTCCAGAAATGCTGCATATTCTCTATTCCCTCTGATCCTGTTCAGGATCAAGAAGAGGAAACTACTTTTCTTGGGGATATTATGGAAGAAAGTATTGAGGACCCTGATTTAATGGCATAGGCTACAGAGGATTTTCCCTCACCTGCATTTTATGAAGTACACCTGAAGCTTCATGTCAAATGTACAGTATTTTAGAGAATGGTAAGAGATTATTCATAAAATTGGCTGCCATAAAGGTGTCATAATTCACAACCAGCATGGAATTATGAAGAACTATTCTTGTCATACCAATCTGTTATCATTCTGTGAGAAAATAAGTGAGAAACTGGATGGTGAAAGTTCAGTGGATGTAGTTTATAGATTTTGCTAAAGCATTTGATACTGTACCTAATATTGATTCTTCAAAATAAGGTCTCTTGGAGTTTATGAAATTGTATTGACATGGGTAGGAGAATGGTTATATAAATGGGTCCAGAGAGTAGTGATAAATGACTTATTCTCTTAATGGTCTAAAGTTGTGAGTGGTGTGCCCCAGGGTTCTGTCTTGGGGCCAATGTTGTTCAATAGAGATTGGAATTAAGAGCTCAATTTCAGTGGTTGCTGATGATACCAAATTATCCAGGGAAATAAATTCAGCACAGGATGCAGCTTCATTACAGGAAGACCTTAATAAAATAGGAGTTTGGGCAATTACATGGTAGATGAGGTTCAATATTGAAAAATGTAAATGTATGCACTTGGTTGGCAAAAATACACATACAAAATACACATTAGAATGGGCTCCCCTGGGAGAATTAGTGATGGAAAAGGCCCTGGGGGTATTTGTAGATCACAAACTTAGCAATAGCATGCAATTGCAAGCCACAGCTAACAAAGCTAGCAAAATTCCCTCACACATTAAAAAGGGCATACATTCGAAAGGAAAATAGATAATCCTTCCCACAAAACACTGGTTAACAAGAGGTCTGGTGCTAGAATTATTGCTTTCACTCTGATGTTCACGGCAATACCTCACCTATGTGGTGTGACCGCCGTTTACAGACCGATGCGGGCCTGACGCATGCGTTCACCTTTGCATGCGTTCACCTTTGCATGCAAGCATAATGATTTTATTTTTTATTTTTACACTGTCTCATTGCATTTTTTTTAAAACATTCTTGTGATTAAAATATTCAGTTACTTTATGGAGAGAGCTGGGGTCTATTAAATGCTTTCCCAAGCCAGAAATGGCTTTGTTGGCATCTGGGGAAACTGGAAGTGACCTTGTTGCTTCCAGTTTCCTATACCATAGAGATGCTTGGGGAGATTCCAGTCCCCAATCAGCTCTATGGTAAGCCGGAAGAACAGCCGACTTCATTCTGGGCTCGCAGGTGGTATGTTGGAGTTTGGGGAGGCACCATAGGGTAGTGGGGGGGTGACAACCCCTCCCGATGCTTGTAAAAGCAATCCAACAGCTAATTAGCTGCTAGGATTGCTTTTTGATAAAACCCAGGATGATGCCTGCAGCTGAGGCATCATCCAAGTATAACCACATGAAGTACCAACATAAATGTACGTATTGTGGTCTTCAAGTAAACTTATGATAATTTTATTATATACTAGATTGAATTTTCAAAGTCTAACTAGTTCTCTTTTTCACTGCACTTTTTGTTAGATAAAATAATTATGTATTGATTTTATGCACTTTTTTTTAATTTTTTGTTATGAATTGATTTAATGCACTTCTTTTGGTTCTAGCTATTTTGGCATAAACTATTCACTTTTTATACACTGTATAGTATATAGCGCTGTCTATTGTATATATCATTTTTAACTGCTTCCCACCCGCTTTATAAGGAAATAATGGATGGGCAGGAGCTCTGTTGTTCTGGGAGGACGTCATATGATGTTCTCCCACTCTAGCTGTGCATGCGTGCCCCCTGGTTTGTGTGGCGCGGCAATCAGTGGCGCGCTGTGTCCCTAGCAAATCACCAACTGAGCTGATGAAGTAGGGTCTACTATGTGATCAGCTGTGTCCAATCACAGCTAATCACATGCAAACAGGAAAGAGGGGAGGAGAGCCTGTAAGTGGCATTCCTCAGAGGGGACATCTACACTGATAATCAGATCACTGATCAGCATTGCCCTGATTATAAGTGCAGCCCCATCATTGCTGCCTTTCAGTGCCCATCATTGCCACCGATCAGTGTACATCAATGCCACATATCAGTGCTCATCAATGTCACATATAAATGTCCATCAGAGCTTTCTGTGCCCATTAGTTATGCCTGTCAATGCCTGTTAGTGCCACCTATCAGTGCCTCCTCATCAGTGCAGTCTATTAATACCCATCAGTGCCACCTTTCAGTGCCTCCTCATCAGTGCAGTCTATTAATATCCATTAGTGCCACCTTTCAGTGCCAATCAGTGCCACCAATCAGTGCCAGTCAGTGCTGCCTATCAGTGCTCTTCACTGCCGCCTATCAATGCCGATCACTGCGGCCTATCAATGCCGATCACTGCCACCTATCAGTGCCAATCAGTTCCAGTCAGTGCTTCCTATAATTTCCCATCATTGCTTCCTTTCAGTGCCCATCAGTGATTCCTGTCAATGACCATCAGTGCCGCCTATCAGTGCCTCCTCATCAGTGCAGTCTATCAGTACCCATCTGTGCCAATCAGTGGCACCTATCAGTGCCAGTGAGTGCTTCCTATCAGTGCCTATCGGTGCCACCTATCAGTGCCAACCAATTCTACCTATCAGTGCAAGTCAGTGCTGCCTATCAGTGCCAGTCAGTGTTGCCTATCAGTGCCACCTAGCAGTGCCCATCAGTGCTCCCTTTCAGTGTCTATCAGTCAGTGCAGCCTATCAGTGCCCATCAATGCCGCCTATCAGTGCATTTTATAACAGAAATTAAGAAAAAACTTTTTTTTTCAGAATTTTGTATTTTTTCATTTGTTTAGCAAAAAATAAAAGCCCCAGTGGTGATTAAATACCACCAAAAAAAGCTTTATCTGTCTAAAAAAATGAAAACAATTTGGTTTGGGTACAGTGTTGCATGACTGCGCAATTGTCATTCAAAGTGTGACAGCGCTGAAAACTGAAAATTGGCCTGGGCATGAAGGGGGTGAAAGTACCCAGTAGGCAAGTGGATAAATAAGGTCACTGTTTGTGT